AACTGAGGATAAACAGTAAGCAATGTCATTTTTTTCCTGAAACCTGAGTTCAATGGACAGGCCATCACTGAGTATCCCATCAAAGGAAAAAGATTCTGATTAATTAGATTTGGATAACAATTAAACTCTCATGGAGAACTTGAGAAATGTAAGTGAATTTCTTATTATGGAGAGGTGTAAGCTAAGCTCATATTCCTGAAGGAGAGAATCAAGTTATCATGATAATCTGTTCATTAAATTGAGTCATAATTGCAGGGTTTCACAAGATTTTCTCCATGAAACCCTAAGAAAAATGCTGCTAGAACCCATAATCTTGACTTCCACCTGCAGTAGGAGCTGTGGGCAGTCAGATATAGTGCTCCTGTCCCTGGACATGGGTCTCTGTGGTGGGTAAGGTGAGTGAGCTGTCACCTCAGTATCATGAGCAAGGGTCTAGGCCAGTACTGACCACAGCTCATGCATGGGCACAGGGACCAGCCCAAATTGAGGGTCAGCTGTGTCCAGACTCCAGAGCAGACTTAACAGGGTGGCCAGCAGGCTAGCAACAAGCAAATACATCCTATCCAAGTAGTGGCAGGGTTGTTGCCCTCTAAGATGCCAGAGGTCCCAGTGGCAATTACTGTGTCTGTTGGGATGTGACACCTGATGCAGCCACCTGAGAAAACCATCTTCCCCAGAACAACCCAGACATTCTCAGGAGTATTGCCCTCCTCAGGACTCATCAAGGTCAGTTGCCTTCACATGGACCAGATCCACAGCGAGTGTTGTGCTAGCAGAAGTGGGGAGGGAAATGAACTAACTCTGGTTTTTCATGACTGAAAATTCCCTTGCTGATTCTTACTTCTGTTCATGTTCAAAATGCCCAGTCAAATTTTCTAGTTGTAGAGACAAATTTCAGCTTGATACCATTTTTTAATTTTAGTGTAGCTTAGTTCTTAATTCCTAATTGGTTTGCCATATTTTTTGTGCTACATAAAACCTGCTCATAGTTTAATAAACCCTAAACATAATAACAACACCTAGTATGTGTAATGTATCTTAATTCTTCCTAAATCATCTTTACACACATTGTTTCAAATAGCCCTTACTGCTCACCTCTCAAAAATTACTAGTAGCAGATAGGTCAGGCATGAATATTTTCATTCTGCAGATGAGGGTATATGTGTACAGAGGTTGGGGGGCATATCATTGGACTGTAAGTGGCAAAAGAAACCTCAGATTTTGACGACACGATTCCTAGCTCAATGCTCATCTCTCATCAAACATCATTTCTTTTAACAATTTTCTTTTATATATTTCTTAAATATGAATTGTGTGCAGAGGTAGACTTGTTTGTAAGAAAAGTATCTTTTTTTTCCTGTTAAAAGATAGCCAAGTTCTAGTATTAAATTGTTTAATTTGGGAAATGCCTTAAATATGTAAACTTCCTTGGACATTTATCTGGAAATTCTGAATAATTCTAAATTTTCTTATATTCTATTGAAATTTTTCTAACATACTTTGCTGTCACATCCCATGACTACTAATAAAATGAGCTGTTGATTTGTGGGTTGCTGAGAGTAGATTTTTAAAAATCTCATTGCAAAAAAATGTAGCTGTGTGATGATGGATGTTAATTACACTTATTACTGTGATCATTTTGCAATATACACTTACAGCAAATCACAATGTTGTACACATGAAACTAATATAATGTTATAAGTCAATTGTATCTCACTTAAAAACCAGTAAAGGTAAAGCCACTTGAGAGAAAAGCTTATTTTTATCTTGGCATGCTGTTCTCTGTATATCAGTAGCTTCTGGGACCATCAATCTTGGTTCTTTAGTACCTAATAACAATCATTCATTTTTCATTTATCACATTTCTAGACTGAACTTTTTTTTAGTTGCTCTGGTTGGCACAGCAAGGGCCCAGTTTCTTATTCTATCATATTCTAAGATATATTTTTCTTTCTTTTAAGTGTACAGGCTATTCTTATATTTGACCAGCTACTAAGTTTACATTTGCATGTCATTTTTTAATGTTTTATAATATACATTTCTAATAGAGTTAACTCTCAAGTGTTATTACCAAGTCTACTTTACTTATTACATGTTTGAAAGAGGCAGAAATTAATAGCTTGTCATGAGCTAGACAAGCTTATTTTGTCTTTTAAGCCAAAATAATGGTTTCTTACTCAATAACAGTATTAACTATGAAGTTTAGAAATAAAGTTAGTTTTGTTTTAGTCCAGGATTTTTAACCAATTTAAGTAACAGTAAAATCTCCTCCCAGGAGAAAAGGAGATCAGGAAGCTAGTAAAAAGAAATACAAATATATCATTTGGATTTTATTATGTAAATGTCACACTTAAAAGATGACTACCTGAAAATATTACCTATATTTGAATACCTTTATTCAAACATACAAATAAAACTTTATAAAAGGAAAATATTAATTCACTCTTTTGGGTTAGCAGTAATTTTTGATAGCTTTCACCTCCGATCTCTTCAATAAATGAATGTCTTGTGAAGTATAAACTTATAGTATATTGTTTATTTACTATAGAAAATATTAAATTAATCATTTGTTTTTATTATAGAAATAATTAATTTTAATCTCTTCTTAGTTTTAATTTGCCTCTGTTTTATTTATAACCACTTACATTTTAAGTATTATTTTTAACAAGTTATTTTATACATGAGGAAACTCTTTACTTGAATAACAATAAAAAATGTGAAAAAATAAAGAAAAAAAGAAATAATTTTCAAGCTTTAGTATTTTATGTATTCTTCTGGGATAGGGTTTCCTGTGATCTGTAATTCTGTGCTTATCCTTCAATTGTTTACTTATGAATTTAAGCATGTACTTTCCATATGTAGGGCCTGCCTAGTAAACATGACTATTCCAACTCACAACTGCCTCTTTATTTTTCAGCAAATACTAACAAAAACATACACAACCAGGAAATAAATATACTGGTAAAGCAGTCACAAGGGCAGAGTTATGTGGGGTCAGCCCAGCATCTTCTTCCTTAGCTTAGAAGACAGAGGGTGAAGGTGGAGGTTTCTCTGTTGTACTGATGGTGTACTGATGTACTTTGATGGTGAGGTGTCTAGGATTCATTTATTCTTCTGACAAGAGACATTCTTAAGTATCACGAGCCACTTAAACTACAGCATCTTATCTACTTGCAGGTATTAGTCTTTAATATGAAAGAACTCTGCTGAGATTTCTTATAATTGTTTTTATTGTCTCCTCTGTATTATCCAATACCTTTCCAACCACAGACACCTGGCGACAGATGGTGGGGAAGTAATATTTGATTGTTCTTTTCTGCTTCTCCATCCAAAGTGATGGAAAGCCTGGCTCAAGTAGAGCTTTGTGTTCCTTAAATGAGTTGGTTCACACTTCCCCTAAGGAAGACACATCTGCAAACTCCATGAGATTTTGATTATCATAAAATACTTAGTCATACTGACCAGGTGCTATGTATCGGTTTTGGAAACCTAAGAGTTAACAGATCAGTGAAAATATTTCTTTTCCTATCAGTCATTGGTAAAGGAATTTGTATAACTGGAATATTTTTTTCTTTAGATCCTTTTCTGTTGTTGTCTCATTACTGAGTGGAGGATGTAAACTATTTTCTTAATAGATGATAGGGCATGGGGTGTAGGAGGTCCACAGTGCTGCAGGGGTGAGCCAGTGATGAGAGCAACAGACACAGGAGACACAGTAACTGTGACCTTTAATAATGACCTTAGTAGAAAGGGGTCAAACATCATGGTTACTGACCAGAATGGCTTATGTTTCTATTCTCACTTATTCTTTAAAGAAAGGTCGAGTCAAGAGCAAGGACTTCATTCACTCCAGTAGGGGTTGGAGGTTAGAGGGTGGTAGAGCTTTTATAATGAAGTTTTAGCAGTTAAATTCAGGGCAGGTGGATGTCCAGGGCTCCCTCTTCAGCCCTTCTCTTCTTTGTCAGTGGGACTGGTGATGAGAAGCAATGCTCATCCCACGTGTTTCCAAAGACATTGGTAAAGCCCTTCTTCCCAGCATACTCCCACCCATACATACATATAAGGAACAGAGGTTTGGGGACAAGCAAGGACAGGAAAAAAGGCAATTGGACACTCTTGGTTTAGGTTACTAAACCATGACTCTACAATGCAGAAAACACCTCTGGGAGATCCAGGCTGGTGGGGAATCATCCTTTATGGCTATGCCCTCTGACATATCCTGGAACCTCATGTTATATACAGCTCACAGAATATCCATCTCACTTCCCAGGGTCTTTATTCCATCCTTAATGTGACACACTTTATTTTAAAATGAATACTCTACAGTCAACTTACTAAATGTACAGCAAGTGAAAACTCAGGATCAGGAGGGGTGACTGAGGACACTTGTTTTAAATTTCATGAAGTAGTCATGTGTATGTGTCCTCCAAAGTGTCCCACCACATGGTAGTGACAGGCAGGGGCTTGATACTGTATTGATTGAATTAATGCTTAAATGGAAGGTGCAGGATTCATACTCCAATCTCTCATTCTTTCTATGCCAACATCCTAGCTGTAGCATTCAAGCCCTCAGGTCCCTCTTAAACGTTATCATTTCATAAGGAGTTTGTATGACCTAACTCCTGAGTGACCCTAGCCACCCATTATTTGAACTTTAGCACTGTTTTCTTTCATTTGGGACAATAAGCAACTTGTTTCCTTCTCTCTCTCTCTCTCTCTCTCTCCCATTCTTTTCCTTTTTATTTTCATTTTAGGGGTCCACCTCCTCCATGAGCCCTGTGGAAACAGCATGAGGAAGGGCAGGGCTTATTCCCTCATGTCCTCTGTGATGTACCATCATTTAAGGAGATGCAGGAGCTTAAAAAGAAAAACACTCCGGGAGGCTCCTTTCAAGTTAACATGCTGTGAAATAAATCCAGTGTCTCTGGAAACAGAAGAGACATCGAACCTTGGAGGAAGTGTATGTGGTTTTGACCCCAATTAAAAAAAATAAGTGGTCCATGCTCACTTCGGCAGCACAAATACTACAATTGGAACAATACAGAAAAGATTAGCATGACCCTGCCAAGGATGACATACAAATTCGTGAACAATTACACATTTTTTTAAACCATTTTCCTTACTCCTCCAACTGATCACAAAAAAAGAGTAGGGGGAAGCTGTGAACACCAGGATACAAAAAGGAGACTGCACCACTGAATCTCACAGGTATTCTACCACAGAAGTTCACACCATAATCACAGGGAACCAGAACAGATCAATTTAAGAAACAGAGGCTAACAAGAAGAGTCTCGCGAACAAAGAGAAGACAGAAACAATCCCCAAATGAAGAAAAAGGAGGAAGACTCAGAAAAAATGATAAATGAAATAGAGGAAACTCAACTATCAGATATTGAGTTCAAAACAATGATTATCAGGAAGCTCAATGAACTCATGAGCTACCAGAAACTACAGGGAAGCTACAACAAAGGCACTGCAAACTATATCAAACTATATCAACATGAAAAAGGTAATAGAAACTATCAACAAGGGCCAAGAGGAAATGAAGAATACACTTTCTGAATTAAAGAACACAGTAGAAGGAATGAAAAGCAGGATTGATGAAGCACAAGACCAGATTAGCGAATTGGAGGACAAAGTGAAAAAGAACACCCAAAAGAGCAAGAAAAGGAAAAGAGGCTCAGAAAGAATGAAGAGGGATTAAGGGAAATGGAAGATTATATGAAACGTAATAATATCTCTATAATAGGGATACCAGAAGGAGAAGAAGAGCAAGGGAGAGAACAACTATTTGAAAAAGTAATGATGGGAAACTTCCCTAATCTGATGGGAGAAAAAGTCACACAAACCCAGGAACCACAGAGTCCCAATCAAGAGGACCCCTAAGAGGCCCACCTCAAGACACATCATAATTAAAATGGCAAAATGGCAAGACAAAAAGAGAATATTAAAGGCAGCAAGGGAAAAACAGGAAGTAACATACAAGGAAGCCCCAATAAGGCTAACAGCTGACTTCTCAATGGAAACACTCCAAGCCAGAAGAGAATGGCAAGAAATATTCCAAGTAATGAGAACCAGATGTCTGCAACCAAGGATACTTTACGCAGCAAGGCTCTCAATCAAGATAGAAGGCCAAATAAGAAGCTTCCCAGACAAAAGAAATCTAAAAGAATACACCTCCACCAAACCAGCTCTGCAAGAGATGCCAAAAGGACTGCTTTAAGGAAAGGAAGGAAAAGAGAGAGAGAGAGGAAAACACGTACGTAAAAGGCAATGAATAAGTACCTATCAATAATAATCCTAAACAAAAAGGATTAAATGCTCCAATCAAAGGACATAGAATAGCTGAATGGATAAGAAAAAATGACCCACACATACGCTGCCTACAAGAGACCCACCTCAGGATAAGAGACCTGCACAGGTTGAAAGTGAGGGACTGGAAACAAATTTTCCAAACAAATGGACAGGAAAGAAAAGCCAGGATAGCTGTTGGGAGTTTTTTTTTCTGATACTCATATCAGACAAAATAGACTTCAAAAAAAAGTCCATAAAAAGAGACGCAGAAGGTCACTTCATAATACTCAGAGAAAGAATCCACCAAGAAGACTTAAGCATTTAAGGAAGAGCTAGCCCCTATCCTTCACAGACTATTCCAAAATCTCCAAAAAGATGGAAGACTCCTGAACTCTTTTTATGAGGCCAGCATCATCCTAATTCCAAAACCAGATAAAGACACAACAAAGAAAGAAAACTTCAGGCCAATATCGCTGATGAACATTGACTCTGAAAACCTCAACAAAATAATGGCAACTCACATCCAGCAACACATTAAAAAGATCATACACCATGACCAAGTGGGATTCATCCCAGGGATGCAAGAATGATACAATATTCACAAATCAGTAAATGTAATACATCGCATAAACAAAAGCAAAGACAAAAACCACATCATCATATCAATTGATGCAAAAAAAAGCATTTAATAAGGTACAGCACCCATTTATGATCAAAATGCTCAGCAAAGTGGGGACAGAGGGAGCATTCCTCAACACCTTAAAGTCCTTATACAAGAGACCTACAGCCAACATCATACTCAATGGGCAAAAATTAAAATCCTTTCCACTAAGATCAGGAACAAGACAAGGCTGTCCACTTTCACCACTTCTTTTGAATATAGTACTGGAAGTTTTAGCCACAGCAATAAGACAAGAAAAAGAAGTAAAAGGCATCCAAATTGGAGAAGAGGAAACAAAACTGTCACTGTTTGCAGATGACATGATAGTTTACACAGAAAATCCTATAGACTCCACCAAAATACTGGTTGACCTCATAAATGAATTTGGAAAAAAAGCAGATACAAAGTCAATATCCAAAATCAAAGGCATTTCTGTACACCAACAATGAAACAGCAGAAGCAGAAAGCAAGAAAAAATCCCATTTGAAATAGCAAACAGAAAAATAAAATACCTAGAAATACACTTATCCAAAGAGGTAAAAGACCCGTATTCAGAAAACTACATAACACTGAGGAAATAAATCAAGGAAGACAGAAACAAATGGAAGCATATACCATGTTCATAGATTGGAAGAATTAATATCATCAAAATGTCCGTACTACTCAAAGCAATTTACACATTCAATGCAATACCTATTAAAGTACCAATGGCTTATTTCACAGACATAGACCAAACACTTCAAAATTTATATGGGACCATAAATGTCCCCAAATAGCTGCTGCAATTTTGAGAAAGAAAAGTACGATGGATCTCAATACCTGATATTAAATTATATTACAAGGCCACTGTAATCAAAACAGCCTGGTACTGGCATAAAAACAGGCACATGGAACAGAACAGAGAGCCCAGAAATAAACCCAAGTCTCTAAGGTCAATTAATATTTGACAAAGTAGGCAGCAACATAAAATGGAGTAAAGATAGCCTCTTCAACAAATGGTGTTGGGAGAACTGGACAGCTACATGCAAAAAAATGAAACTCAAACACCAATTTACACCTTACACAAAAATAAATTCAAGGTGGATAAAAGACTTAAATATAAACCGTGACACCATTAAAGTCCGAGAGGAGAACATAGGTAGGAAAATCTCAGATATTTCATGCAGAAAATTTTTACTGACATGTCCCCTAAAACATGGGAATAAAGGAAATAATAAACAACTAGGACCTCATCAAAATAAAAAGTTTCTGCACAGCTAAAGAAAACAATATCAAAATAAAAAGGGAAGCAACTGTATGGAAAAAACATGTTTGCCAAAGATACCTCAGACAAGTGTTTAATCTCCAAAATACATAAAGAACTTACACAACTCCACTCTAAGAAGACAAGCAATCCAGTTAAAAAATGGGCAAAGGACTTAAACAAATACTTCTCCAAGGAGGACATACAGAAGATCCAAAGACATATGAAAAGATGTTCAATATTGCTAGCTATCAGAGAGATGCAAATTAAAACCACAATGAGATACCACTTCACACCAGTCAGAATGGCCATCATAAACAAAGCAACAAACAAGTGTTTGAGAGGTTGTGGAGAAAAGGGTACCCTAGTGCTCTGTTGGTGGGACTGCAGACTGATACAACCACTATGGAAAGCTTTATGGAACTTCCTCAGAAAACTGAATATGGATCTGCCTTTTGACCCAGCAATTCCACTGCTGGGACTGTATGCTAAGAACCCTGAAACACCAATCCAAAAGAACCTATGCACCCCAATGTTCATAGCAGCATAATTTCCAATAGCCAAGTGCTGGAAGCAACCTAGGTGCTCATCAATAAATGAATGGATCAAAAAACCATGGTACATTTACAGAATGGAATTCTATGCAGCAGAAAGAAAGAAGGAGCCCCTACCCTTTGCAACAGCATGGACGGAGCTGGAAAGCATTATGCTAAGCGAAATAAGCCAGGCAGTGAAAGACAAATACCATATGATCTCATCTTTAACAGGATCTAAACAACAAAACAAACAAACTAGCAAAATATAACCAAAGACACTGAAATAGAGGAGTCTGACAGTGACCAGAGGGCAGAGAAGAGGGAATTTCAGGAGAGTATGGGAAGGGTTTACAGGAACAAATTTAAAGGACACATGGACAAAAACTAGAGGGAGGGTGGTAATGGGAAGGAATTGGGGAGGCTTGGGTGGGTGGGCTGGAATGGGAGTAAAAGGGAGAAAACTGTACTTGAACAATGATTAAAATAAAACAAAAGAGGAAAAAATAAGTGATCTGCCTATGGAGGACAGGAGTCAAGCACCTGTCACAGTGGCACCTGCTGTGTCAGTCTTCCCTCTGTCAGTCTGATTCACACAGGTGGAGGCAGCGATTGTGCTCAGGAAGAATACAATGAAGTATGAACATGGCTGGTAAAGCACAATTTACTCTCTCTTGTGTGACTTACCAGCTGTGCTGTCTGGTATAAAAGCAGTATAAGTCACCCCAGCTCTGATGAGAAAGTAAGATATTAGGTAAGATATAGGTACAAGTATGCCGAAGTGCATTCTTTTAGTTTTTGGAACAACAAATGTTATCCCTCCCTGTCCAGCTTAGAATTAATAGGGCTGAGGTCAGAAATCACTAATTGAGGACTTGCAGAGGACCAGTTTTTATCTACCAAATACTCTCTATCCTTCATGTCCAATTAATGTTGGCTCATGATTCCTCTCTCACCTTTTGCCAAGCCTTGACATACTTAAATGTGGCAAAGCATTTCTCCTTGGCCAGATCTACAGCTCCTTGTTCATTATCTCACTCATTTGAATAAAAAAACCAGGAACTTAATTCCTGGGAGAAGATTTTGACACAGTGGTTGAAGATTCTGCCAGGTTCACCTTTGAGGCTGTCTCCTGTAATTACCAGAAATGTACTTCTGGTTTCAGGTTCAGTCACACGAGAGAACAAATTACATTGCAATTTCAGCTCATGGTCAGTAGTCATGGCAATGCCGGAAGATAAATTTTAGAAGGAATCTTCTCCAAAGGAAAGAGTTTGTATCATGCCACCAGATGTTTGCAGGTTCATTTTTAGAAATAAATATGCCCTTTTTGGTTTAGAAAAGCTCTAAAAATCTATTTTAAAGGTATACTGT